CATAGAAAATTTCCTGGGATCAGGAGAGACGCTAGAATGACTTCCTTCTTCACAATGGAAATAATTCAAAGATTAGAAGGTAAAAGTGGAAGAGTGCCTGTCTGATTAACTAGCTTTTAAGAAAACTAGGTACCGGGTGTGGTGGTGGACCCCTGTAATCCTAGCATTTGGGAAGGCAGAGGCAGGTGGATCTCTGTGAGTTCAAGGCCCGCCTGTTCTACAGAGTGAGTCCAAAACATCCAAGGCTACACAGAGAAAAAGAACAACAACAAAAAATTGGGAGAGGGGGCTGGAGTGATGACTCAGCAGTTAAGAGCACTGGCTGCTCTCTTGAAGGACCCATGTTCAAGTCCCAGCACCAATATGGTGGCTTACACTTACATTTAACCCCAGTTCCAGGGGATTTGATATCCTCTTCTTAACTCCGCAGGCACTAGGCTCACACATATTACACAGAATATACATAGGAAAAAAAAAAACTCTCAGACACATAAAGTAAATAAATAAAATTTATTTTAAAAAATAAGAAAAGAAAACTAGGAATAGGATGCGGTGGTGCACACTTGTAATCCTAGCACTCAGGAAGGCAGAGTCAGGTGGATCTTGAGTATGAGGCCAACCTGGTCTAAGTCCAGGACAGCCAAGGGTACACAGAGAAACCCTGTCTCAAAAACAAATAAAAACAAAAACAACAAAAGTGAAAACTAGGAAATGAGGTGTGGAGGGAGGGCCGGGGCACAGCATACAGACTTCTGATCCTCACTCAGTAAGAGGCACTGAAGAAAGAGTACCTTATATACATTGAATCTATTTTCTTTAGCCCTTTGTTGTCTTATCACTACAACCAAACAGGAACACCCAATTTGAGGACTGTGTGTAAAAATCAACTTCTGTCCCTGTGTAGTTCATGAGAAAATTTACCACAGTAACCTTTAAAATTTTTCTCTATGATAGAAACATAAAATGTAGCAAAGTCTCACTGTACATTTAATCTGCAATCCAAGTGTGTGGAAGATGAAGGCAGGAAGATCATGAAATCAAGGCCAGACTTACTTCCTGAGGTCCGGATCTGCCCAGACTACAGGAGACCTTGACTCAAAAAAAGTGAAAGCAAATAAACAACCACAACAAACCAAACAAAAACTCAACCCAACCAACAAAAGAAATGTAAAATTGAGCTGGGGGATCTTCAACACCTTATGATTTGTAATGATCAAGCATGGCTAAAAGAAAAACAAAAACAAGTCTGCTTTTTATGTAAAATGAATGTATGAACAATTACACTTGAACACCTGAGTGAGTTTCACCTAACAGCCAATACAGGATTTATAGCAGAAATCCAGTGCTAACCCAGCAACAGACTCATCTAGATTTGCAGCAAAGAATTGTGCTGCACTAAGATAATAAGGGTTGCCTTACTTAATTTCGAATCTTGCTCTATGCAGAAATGTTTCCTTTATTTATATGACAACACCTTCTTTACAAAGAGTCTTATTCGATTAGTGTTTTCAGAGCTTCTGAAACTTGGACAAGGACTAACAAAATCCTGGAATTTTCAAACCTAGCTCCATCCTTCTCTAAAATCCGAGAGCACACTCCATATATTAAATTCCAACAAGGGAGTAGTATGTAGCGCAGTAGTTGAGTCTTCTAACCTAGCATGCAGGAGGACCTGGAATCTATCTTCATTATGGAAAAAAAAAAAAAAAAAAAAAAAAAGCAATGTGACCTTTAAAAAAGGACATGGTCTGTACCCCATTTACTTCATTTGTTGCTGTTTAACTTCTTGAATTCTTTATATATTCTGGATATTAGCCCTCTGTCAGTGATAGGGTTGGTGAAGATCCTTTCACAATCCCTAGGCTATCGTTTTGTTCTGATGTCAGTGTCCTCTGCATTACAGAAAATTTTCCATTTCATGAGGTCCCATTCATTGATTGTTGATCTTAGAGCCTGTGCTATTGGTGTTCTGTTCAGAATGTTGTCTTCTGTGCCAATGAGCTCAAGGCTCTTCCCCACTTTTTCTTCTAACAGGTTTAGTGTCTTTGGTTTTATGTTGAGGTCTTTGATCCACTTGGACTTTAGTTTTGTGCAGGGTGATAAATATGCATCTATTTGCATTTTTCTACATGTAGATATCCAGTTGGACCAGCACCATTTGTTAAAGATGCTATCTTTTTTCTATTGTATGGTTTGGCATCTTTGTCAAAAAACAGGTGCCCTTGAGTGTGTGGGTTTATTTCTGGGTCATCCATTTGATTCTATTGATTCACCAACCTGTTTCTATGCCAGTGCCAAGCAGTTTGCACAGAGCTAAATAGAGAATTCTCTATATAGGAATACTGAATGGCAGAAAAACACTTAAAGAAAGGCTGAACATCCTTAGTCATCAGGGAAATGCAAATCAAAACGATGCTGAGATTTCCTTACACCCATCAGAATGGCTACGATCAAAAACTCAAGTGACAAAACGTGCTGGAGAGGATGTGGAGAAAGGGAAAACCTCCTCCATTGCTGGTAGGAATGCAAACTTGTACAACCACTTTGTAAATCAATCTGGCACTTTCTCAGACAATTAGGAATAGTGCTTCCTAAAGATCCAGCTATACCCCTCCTAGGCATATATCCAAAATATGCCCACGTATAGAACAAGGACATTTGCTTGACCATAGGATAAACATGCTAAAATCTGTATACCTACAGAAGCAAAGGAAGAAGGAGGATCCTGAGTAAGATGCTCAATCCTCATTCAGAAAGGCAAATGGGATAGACATCCGAAGGTGAAAACAAGGAACTAGACAGGACCCTACTGCAGAGGCCTCTGATACCCAGCAGGCTATCAAAGGAGATACTGAGACTCATAGCCAAACTTTGGGCAGCGTGCAGGGAATCTTATGAAAGAAGAGGGGCATTCCCTGGAAGGGTATGGAGTTCCACAAGGAGAGCAACAGAACCAAAAAATCTGAACCCAAAAAAATCTGGAGACTGATACTCCAACCATGGACCATGCATGGGGATAACCTAGAACCCCTGCACAAATGTAGCTTGTGGCAGCGCAGTCTCCAAATGGGCTTCCTAGTAAGGAGAATAGGGGCTGTCCCTGACATGAATTCAATGGCTGGCTCTTTGATCACCTCCCCCAGAGGGGAGGTAGCAGCCTTACCAGCCCACACAGGAAGACTATGAAAGACAGTCCGGATGAGCCTTGATAAGCTAGGGCCAGTTGGAAGGGGAGGAGGACCTCCACTATCAGTGGACTGGGGAAGAGGCATGAGAGTAGATGAAGGAAGAAGGGTGGGCACGATTGGGAGGAGATGAGGGTGGGGGCTACAGCTGGAATAAAAAGTGAATAAATTAAAAGAAATAAAAACATATATAAAAAAAAAAGACAAGGTCTAATATGTAGCCAAGCTAGTCTCCAACCCACTGTGTAGCCAAGGATGCTCTTGAATTCTTGCTTCTCTGGCTTCTTCCACGCAAGTGCCAGGATTATAGTGTGGGCGACTGCTTTGATGTGGTACAAGACATCAAATCCAGCACTTCGTGCATACTTGGCAAGCTACTCTACCAACTGAGCTACATTCCCCAATTCCAGAGTGGCATTCTTTAGTCTGAATTGTCCACACAGTAATACCATCTGCCATCCACAGTCATCCAAGCTGTGTGAATGGAGTTACCACATAGAAAAGGTCACGTGGAATTCTCATCGCCTTTAGAAAAATAATTTTTGTCATTAATATTAACCTAACTTTTAGCTGGGTCTGGTGACACACATATCTGTAATTCTGACACATGGTGTCATAGTGAGTTCAATACTAGCCCAGATACATAGAAAAATCCTGTCCCAAAAATAAAAACCAAACACAGATTAAAAAAGAAGGCAAAGAATGTCCGTAATTTCATAAACAAATTCTCGATTGACCCTAAATCAACAGGATTTTTTATTTCTTCTGTAAATTTCAAAAGTTTTACATTGGACATTGTTGTCTACTATCCATTTCAAGTTATTTTTTGTAATTACGAACAATAGTCCTTTTTCCCGTAAACCTGTAAACGAATTGGAACTCTGATAAATGTAGAATTATTATCTATGACTGTGCACTGTATAGTTGGTTAACTGTGCTATACAGAATGTGGGAAAAGAAATTGGCTTTGGTCCAGTGGGACAAGGAGTCTCCAGTCCAACTACTCCTTTCTTGGCTGTACTGAATACTGGTGACCATCTAAAGTGAGAAATGGGTGAAGATTTTGCCAAACTAGGGTCTTGTTGCTTCGCAGCTGAGCTCCATAAACAAAGAAGCTATTACTTCGCAGTATTAGATGCAGCAAACTCAAAGGAAGGTCGAGAGTGCTCAACACGTGCGTCCTGCTTTCCCACATTCTTTCCAACTCCCACACAAGCCCACCCTTCTGGATATGGCAGTGCTCAACATTCAGGCTGCTCCAGAGTCACCTAAGCAGGTGGCAGTACTCTGATTGCTAGACGCTAGAAACAGCATTTCAAAGTTCTCCAGGTAAACCCAGTGCCCGGGACCTGTGCACAACCTTTTTTGATCACGCATGAGGAGTCTAGGTTTCAGCCTGGCAGAGACTCCGAAACTGAGGAGAGATCCACAGATGTCTCCCAGCCCCCACCATTCCCCACACCGATATGATGCCCACAGGCTGCGCCCACTCTCTCAGATTCTCTCCGATGTCGTCCTTCCAGACTGAAGACACCAGGGTAGGATCTGGCGGTGCCTAAGGGTCTACAGGTCGCCAAAGTCTGAGTGCTGGGGGCCTGGCCACCAAAGGGACAACAGCCAAGGACACGCACAGAAACTCTAGGGTGCCCAGGCTGGGGCGGGGGTGGGAGGGAAGAATCCTTTGCTGGACGTCTTTCTCCCTGGGCGCAGCCGCGCTGGCTCTGAAGCCGCAGTGCTGCTGTCCCGCCCCGGAAGGGAGAGCAGGGCGCCTCGGTATGCGTCCGGCCCCTGCCTCAACCCTAGGGAGGCTCCCACCTGGTCTCCCGGTTGCTGAACTTCTTGGTGATCACCTTGCCCAGCTCCAGGCCCAGGCGATCGGCCACGCGCTGCGACAGGTCCTTGTGAGAACTCCCGCTGAAGAGCACGATGTTGGGCATGGTGACGCTGGGGAACTGAGGGGCGCTCAGGGAAGGAGAAAGCGACAGCGACGCAGATTGCTGCTACTCCTGCTGTTGCTGCTACTGCCACCACTGTTGCTGGTGGAGCGGGAAAGCGAGCCAGCCTGACCTAGGGGAGGGGAGGTGCTGGGGGAGGAGCCACAGAGAGGAGGAGCAGCCTAACAGTCTGATGGAGGGGGCTGGGGAGAAGCTTCTGCCCTTGCAGGCTGGGCAGCAGTTTGTGAATGAAGCTCTGGGTGGTCCCGAAGCACCCAGATGCAGTTGCTCTGTAGGTATGCTCCATGTTCTACACATGACTGCTCCGACTTGCCTTTAGGTGGGGAATTCAATTAACCAGATGAAGTGGGCCTTGAGGTGCCTCTCAGCCAAGAGCTGATTTTCAACCCGGAAGCTCAGAACCCACAGATGATACCTGGGGTTCAAGTGCACCCAGCGTCTACTTAGGCCAGCCCACACAGCAGCCTGTATCTGAACACCAGACTGAAGCATGTTTGCACTTTATATGATGGCATATACTACTTTTGACAATGGACTAAGGAAAAGGTTTTCCCACCAACCAGAATTCCCATTCTCTCGTTAATTTAGATGTATATTAAAAAAATGAGCTTAAATATTTTTGTTTTAGATTTTTTTTAATTAAAGCTGAAAAATCGTTTTCTTTCTTATTATATAAATGCCTACATAATATCTTTTTTTTTTTTCTCTTGGTCTACAAAGCCTGAAAATTTTACTGTCTGGTTCTTAAAAGTGTGTTGCTCTGTAGATGAGAGCCATCTTTTGAGTCCTAATCTCAGGTGCAAGGGGAAAGCCTGTTCTCAGATGGCCCAGTTATTCTAACCAATTGGCTGGGACTTCCTGTTCAGATGCAGCTGGTCAGATAAATGGTTGAGCTTTCCTAATGTCCACTGATAACTGGTTTGCCAGCACAGCCAAGGCCACTTGCCACTGAATTGTAGCCCACTCTAATAGCAATTCCTGTGTTTCTGGGATTGGGGAGACTGTCAAGATTGGACACATCCTTGGGGTTTTTTCATCTGGGTCCTTCCTTGAACTTTGCAAAGATATCAGCCATGGTTGACTGTCAGCACAAGCCTTTAATCTCAACACTCTGGAGGCAGAGGCAGTTGGATCTCTGTGAGTTCAAGGCCAATCTGGTCTGGTGAAACTTTGTCTCTCAAACACTGCCTGCCCCCTCAAACACAAAGGAATTAGATTTCTGAAAGGCTTTCTTTGGAAACTTCAGTGACCTGCTTACCAAAAAGTTCTCCAAAGCACCATTCCCGTTGCATTTTTGCCCCTTTTCATTTTCCTTACAAAGATGTATATATCATATTGTATTTTTTAAAGAGTAAAGGTGATGATATAAGGAAACTCATCAATTGGGAGGTTAAGGCCTGGAGATGAAGAAGCCCAGGCCAGTCTGTGCTACACACTGAGATTTTTGTCTCAAAAACAACTGCAGCAACAACAATCTATCTACATTCATGTACTGCATAAAGATTCAGATGACAGACCACACCATTAAGATTATGTTGTTTAATGATGTTCCAGCTGTCGTGGTTCATTTATGCACACTCTACAATGCTTACATGAGCATGAATTCACCTTATGATGTAATTCTCAAAACATTCTACATGTTTAGCAGCAAATGACTATATTCCATAATAACTTGAATTTGCTTAATAAATTATTGTAGTGATGAAATTTATACCCAACCATATGTCCAAAAATTTTATTGAATTAATCTGCTAAAATAATTTTACTTAAACTCACCTAATAAAATTTATTACCAGAAAATTTACTGTACTTTTTTCTGTCCTTAAAGATCTGTTTCATAAATAACATTTATTAATCATGGCATTTTTCTAAACATATGCATGCTTTTATCAGGGGAAAGTAGTTTCTGATTACTGTGGCGGCTTAGGATTCGTTGATAACAAAACTGATAGAACATAAAACAATTTAAGTTAAAGTTCCCAGTCTGTACATTAATTCATAGATGAGATTTGAAATGCTAAGATTAAAATGTGACCTTGATAGTAGCATGAGATGAAATATCTGTGTTGTCGTGACAAAGAAAATGGTTGTTGAGGGACGCTGCTTGAGTGCTGTGTGAACAAGGGGCAAACGGTGCTTAAAAGTGATAAGGATACTAATGGGAATCAACAAAAATCATCCTAAGTAACAGGCTGTGCACAAAGCCATCACTGAAAAATATACAAGCTTAAGAGAGCAGCTGTAGCCTTTGTGCAAACACTTTCTCTTCCAAGCACTTTTGTCCTTGATTCACAGGGGCCAAATTGTGGAAAAGCCTGATCTACAACTGTCTTTCAACCTCAGCTTAACTGACAGTCAGACTGATGCATTCCTTGTTGTGGGACTCTCCTGTATATATCGGATGCTAAGAAGCATCCCTGGTCTTAACTCAGTAGTCTGCCTTCACATGTTGGGACAACCAAAAATGTCTCCAGGTACAAGAACTAGTTGTCTGAATGAGCCTCTGGCCCTTTCCTTCTCCATGTGGTTTCTTCCTGGTGGCCATTCATTCAGGCTTCCTCACAATGTAGCTGCAGAATAGCAAGAAGGAGTCTTCGAAAAAGACAAATCTAAATGATAAATGAATCATAAATGGAAACGTTGTAATGAGATTTATCTTGCACTCTAACAACAAATGAATTAAAAATAAGATAAGCCTTTTGAGCAAACAATTACTAGCTTTCTGCTTGTATCTTGTTTGCTAATATCCTGCTGCCCAAAGGAAGTCACATGGCAAACATCAAGGTCAGTATGGCATGAATGAACCAAAGAATTGTACAATAGGTACAGCAAATTTCTGCCACAGGAAAATTCATTCCAGAGTTGGGTGAGGGGCTCAAGGAAAACATAGCCTCTGTTCACAGTTTAAATTCAGAACAAGCCAAGGCCACATACTCTGTGCATATGGGCTTTCACTCCTTGCCCATATTGTACAATGTTCATTATTTTAAGATTGAAATATTTGTGGCAAAATTAAAATGGTGAAGTTTTCACATTGTTAATAATGTGACTTCACTTATGAATGGAGAAGGGTGAAATGGTGAGAGATCATACATTTAAACTTGGGGACAGGCTTATAGCTTGTATTTTCTGTTTCACTTATCTGATTTTTTTTTCAGGTAGTGAGTTTTCTGTCTGTTTGTTGTATGAATTGATTTCTCACCTAGGACTGATGTATGGAAGACATCACTCAAAGTTGCATGGCTATTCAAAGGGAGCAAAGGAACTGGAATGTTAGTGTTCCAGCCCAATCATTTTCACCTTAGAACAGTGCTGCTCTTAGAACAGTGCATATTCTTATATAAGTCACATTTTGAAAATAGCACGAAGAAACCAGTGTAGTCATTTTAATAATACACATTATTTAATACAAAATATCTAAACTAGTGTTACTCCAACATGTAATCCACATGAAAAGATTACTGAGATGTTCCTTGTCTTGTTTTGGTAGTAATCTTTCACACTCAGATGTATATTTTATACCTACAAATTACACATTGCAATTTGGAATGTGACTTTGCCACACCTGAAGTGATGAACAGTGAGGGGTGGCTAGTGGCTGCTGCCTTTCAGCAATGAGTTCTAGGAGCACTCAAAACCAGGGTCTCCTGACAAGTCCATTCTCTTAGCAAATCATGCAGAGCTAACTGTAGACTGCTGAAGCTTATCAACAATTGCTTTCAAAGGACCTAACGTAGGACCCAGTGAATAAGAAAGCTTGCTGAATATGCTTGAAGACTTGAGTTCAGATCCCCAGCATCCCAAGAAAGGGCCCGGTAAAAACCCAGTGTAGCCACATGCCTATTACCCTATTCTGAAGGTGGGTGAATGGAGAAGAGAGGATCTCTGGGGCTTGTTCACTGCCAGCCAAGCTTCAGATTTAGTTGGAGAAAAAGGAGAGTAACAGAGCAGGATACTTTAAGTCCTCCTCTGTACATATATAAACACCACATGTATGAGCACTTATGCACACACACACACCAGCACACTCCCACTTGTTTTAAAGTGGGTTCAGCTTTATTCCTTTATTAGTGACATTTTCATTTGACATCAAATGCTTTTCTGATTTTAATTTCTACATATTCACTTTTTACTTACTACTTAAAAATTTTTCTTCAGTAGAGTTTTAAAATCTATCCATCACATAGGTTTTGGAACTGTTACAGTTGTTCCCAAATTTCCTCCCAGCTGCTTCACATGTTCACCTAATTCATCTGTTCCTCAGTAGTATCTGTAGAAAGGTAATAACATCAACCATACACACTCATCCAAAATAGATAAAAGACTTCAATGGGAGAGGTGAAATTACAAAACTCATGGAAGATAACCTGCACAAGGCTTAATGACTGTGGTTCAAGCAATGATTTTTTATATGATATGAAAATTATAAGCAGCAGCCCACTGCAAACATGTATAAACTGGACATCAACACTA